CCGTAAGTGGTTTTCAATATTAATTTATAGTTCGTAGTAATGGCCCTTCCCTTCAGTGAGAGTATAGTAAGTGTGTGATTCAAGCGGGCCTCGCCGGTACCTGCTGCGCGAGCGTAACGGCGCCTGTATATAGGAAATAAACTACCGGCGAACATCTTTGTACTTTTCAGCTACCGGTTATAGCGTTGGCGAAAAATGCATTGTGCCGAGGGTAAAACATCGTATAACGATTTTTAAACAGTTAGTTAGCCAGCCGTTGTTAAAGCCAAAGACCGCAATAACAAAAGGGGGCCCTTTCTTAAACGGCCGCCGGCGGCAAAACACCCTGCCTGTCTCCTCAATAGCCGGCACCGCCCAGCGGCGCCTTGCATGGCTGGTCTGCGGTGGTGAGTCAGTCCCGCCTGGTCAAAACCGCACGCAAACAAACGAACACACACACACACACACACAATCACACACAAGCATACACTAGATTCCAGAGCAGGGCTGTAATTCCCACCGCAGTCGTTATGCATTGTAATGCCGGCAAATACCATGCCGAGGCAGAGACGGCATATACTCTGATTCAATGCAAAGAAAACTAATAGTAATGCAGTAATAATACTTTTCAAAACCAATAGTAATATTTCAAATCTTGGTATTTATCCTCGCCTTGTGCTACATTTCTCCTTACGTGACTTCAGTGAGACGCACAACACCCCGACAAAAAGTTCTGTTGTGCCGGAACCCGTCACTTTTCCTGCGAAAATAATAAATTACCTTCCCCAGACTAAATCCCCCATTCCTACGTCCCTCTGGTTGCCCTGCACTGACCTTTCCCCCGAGCCGCCGCGCGCTGTTCAAACTGTTTCCCTGCAGCGCGCGCTCGTCAAAGTTATTGCGTGACGCTGTGGAAGATTTTTTTTTTCGAGACCCGAGGATTCGGATTCACCCCGAAACGTCCATCTGAGACCGGCTGGGCGGCAGAGGCTGGCGCTCTAGATGTTTGTTATACTCAGCCTGCGTACCTATAATAACGCGAGAATCTCGAGCATCCCGCTTTATTAATCCCAAACAGAATCACCTAGCGTACGATCCTTGTGCAATAAATCTGCACCGTCAAAATCGTTGTGTGTGTACGGGCGAGTGTGAGTTTGTTCATGTGTGTGTGTGTGTGTCCGAGTGTGTGTGTGTGAAAGTCTATTCCGTAATGTGCGATGCTCACCGAGCTGTTCTAATCCCTCTCCCTGCCCGGCCGGGTCGAGCGCGGGGTCAGCCCAGCCCAGCCCCGGCCTCACGTCCCGTGCGATCGCAGAGCTGGAAGAGGAAGCTGGCCGGCTGCCGACGCGCGCGTCAGCGTCAGCTGCAGTCAGCGGCGGGGCCCGTCAACCCGCGTCAGCGAGCCGGCCAGTCACTCAGTCCGGCGCTCGGGCGGCGGCGGGGCCCCCCGGACACGGGAGGCCGGTAAAAGTCAGTGTGCGAGAGTCTGTTAATCTTCCAGCGCAAACTTTAAAACCGCATGCGAGATGAGGAGTATATGGGGGAAGCGGGGAGGGCAGATATATGAGCGGAGAGCGAGAGAGAGAGAGAGAGAGGGAGAGAGAGAGAGAGAGAGAG